CCTCCCACGCGGCTCGCCGGGCCTGGCCGCGGGGCCCGGGCTAACGCGGCCCCCTGCCCTCGCTTCGCCCCGCAGTGCGACCCCACCACGAGCTGCGAGATGGACTGCGAGGCCAACAACAAGGTGGGACGCGGCCGGGGGACGGAGCCCGGCAGCGCTGCCCCGGCTGGTGGCCCTCCCGCAGCCCCGGCGCTGCCCTCCTTCCCCAGGACCTCATCTGCGTCCTCCTCGACGACGGCGGCTTCCTGGTGCTCTCCAACCAGGAGGACCACTGGTTCCAGGTGAGCTGGGCTGTCGGCCGCCCGGAGCTCCACACTCCCCCGTGCTGCCTGGGTGAACTCCACATGGCGCCAAGCCCGTGGGCAGCCCAGGCTCGGGGGGCTGGCACGGGCTGGCCACAGCCACCGTCTGTGCCCCCTCCGGCAGGTGGGCAAGTTCTTCAGCGAGGTGGACGCCAACCTGATGTCTGCCCTCTACAACAACTCCTTCTACACGCGCAAGGAGTCCTACGACTTCCAGTCCGTGTGCGCCCCCGAGGCGCAGAGCAACACGGGCGCTGCCCCCCGCGGCATCTTCGTGGTGAGTGCCGGGGCGCGGGGTGCAGCGCGTGCTGGGCGCCAGGCTCAACGCCTCGCTCTCCTTCACTCCTAGCCCACCATGGCCGACTTCCTTAACCTCGCCTGGTGGACCTCGGCCGCGGCCTGGTGAGTGCTGCCGGCGCAAGCCGTGCCCGCCGTCCCGGCAGGGACGTCTGCTTGCTCAGACACCATCATGAGGGACCGCACGCCCCTTCTATCTGCACCAACATGGCGGTGGCCACACGCTGCCCAAGGCCCCTTGCTCTGGCAGGGCACCCTTGGGAGCCTGGCTCTGTGGCCAGGGCTGGGTCCTCCCTGCTGGGTGGCCGCAGCGGAGCTCCAGCTGGTCCAGCTCCCCATGGCCGCATCATCCCACCGGACACTCTCTCCTTCCCGAGGTCCCTGTTCCAGCAGTTCCTCTACGGCCTGACCTACAGCAGCTGGTTCCAGACAGGTGAGTCCCAGGCTGGCTGGGGAGGGGACATCCCTCCTGGACAGCGGGTGGCACAGCCTGCCGTCCCCCCACACGCGTGCCCCGGCGCAGAGGACGTCACGGCGGACAGCGCGGAGTCACGGGAGACCAGCTGCATCATGAAGCAGACGCAGTACTACTTCAGCACGGTCAACGCCACCTACAACGCCATCATCGACTGCGGCAACTGCTCCAGGTGGGTTGGCAACTGCTCCAGGTTGGCTCATGGCCGCGCACGAGCCCCGCAGCCGCTCGGCCAACACGCAGCCCTCGCGCCCTCGCAGGCTCTTCCACGCACAGAGGTTGGCCAACACCAACCTGCTCTTCGTGGTGGCCGACAAGCCCATGTGCAGCCAGTGCGAGTCTGTCAAGCTGCTCCAGGCGGAGATCAGAGGTATCCTTGGCTGGATGCCCATGCAGGGGACAGAGTTTGCTGTCGTCCAGGGCCGGGGGCTGCGGAGCTGGGGAGGGCGATGGGCTCGGGGCGGCCGGTGCCGCTGCTCTGGGGCCCCGGCGCTGCCCATCGCAGCCGCGACTGCCGCCTTGTCTCCTTGACCCACCGCGAAGCTCCTCCGCGAGACCCAAATCAGTGCGAGCTGGTGGACAGGCCGCGCTACCGGAAAGGCCCCCACATCTGCTTCGATTACAATGCAACAGTACGTGGGCCACGGCGGCAGCAGGGTCGCCGGGGGGGGGGGCAGCAGGGCACGGGGCCGTGGGTGACCTGGGACCATGGGGCAAGGAGTGAGATGGGGCCCAGGGGCAGCAGGGCTATGGGGTGACATTCTAGGGAGTCAGTGCCATGGGGACATTGAGGCCGTGGGGCACAGGGCAGCAGGGCTCTGGGGTCGTTGCCGTGGGGGTGCAGGACAGCAGTGCCATGAGGGGGATCATAGGGCCATGTGGGCTTATTGGGTGCCTTTACAGGGGGTCAATGCCATGGGGGCCCTGAAACAGCGGGGCCATGGGGTGCCCACATGGGGGTTTCAGTGCCATGGGACCCCAGGACAGCCGTGCTATGGGGCGCAGGGCAGCGGGGCTATGGAGTGCCCTCCTGGGGGGTCAGTGCCATGGGGTGCAGGGCAGCAGGGCTGTGGGGCTCTGGGGTCAGTGCCATGGGGCGCAGGGCAGCGGGGCTGTGGGGTGCCCTCCTGGGGGCTTCTCGGGTGTCGTTGCCACGGGGGTGCAGGCGCCGCGGGCTGAGCGTCGCAGCGAGTGTCGGGCACGGGGGGCTGTTTCTAATGCTGCTCTGCCTATGGGCTTTGCCTATATTAGTAAGATTGGGAATACTTGCAGCCACTGGCATGTTAATGTCTGTGCTAGCAAATAGAACTTCCCCTCGCCTGAACTGCCCCAAATACTGCTGCACCTGAGCTGTTCCTGGGCACGTTTTAGCACTCTGGCAGTTCAGCTATTTCAGTGTCCATTCCCTGCTGGCCGCCCACCTGCAGCCACCTGCTTTGCAGTTGTCCAGCCCAGACTCAGGCCATTCCAGACCACTTGGCCTTAGGGCCCAATCTCATCCCCGGGCATATTTAGTTCACTAGAGCAAATGAAGCCAGAGGGACTACTTTAAGAACTATTAGCAACTGATATTTTGTGGCAGCTTCTACTGCTGTGGAAGGATATTTTTCAAAATTAGTCTCTCACATGAGGAACATCTGCTCATTTGTGCTGTTAAAGACATTAACTATTACAGTGAACCGACGTATCTTCTACTTTGTTACAGCTGCTCTGTTGTTTCTGGGAAGCAGATCTTCCATGGCAATACTCCCATCTCTGCCTCTGCTTCAGCTTGTCTCCGCTTCCCACAGACCTGCTCTGGACTCAGCTTCATTCTCACAAATAAGGAATAGGAAAAAAACCTGCAATTCTAAACTTCCCAGAGTTGAGGGCAAGTTATGTTAGATAAAGAAACTCATCACTGACAACATACTGCAGTCCCTGCTTCTCCTCCCACCCTTTCTCTTGGTGCTGGGAGTAGGTGGAAGCTCTGGGATCACTACAGCTATTAGCAGCAGAAAGGTCTCTCTGCGTCTTCTCACCCATGTTGTATCCGATCCTTTTTCTTTCTTCCGTTTTTTTTTTTTTTTTTTTTTTTTTTTTTTTTTTTTTTTTTTTTTTGTACAGAAGAGTGGGGAAACGTCGGAAAAAAAAACCAAAACGACGAGAAAAAAAAATAATAATAAAAAAATAACCCACCGCCCACACAAAATCCCGACAAACAGGCGATTTGTAAGATATCATGCGTGTGACTCCTTGTAAAATATTTTCAAATGGTTTATTACAGAGACTCGGTTATTAAATAATGTTCATATTTTCACTTCACACGCGGCGGCTGTCTCATTTCGGGGTGGGACGGGGACGCTGGGGCCCCTGCCCGTTGCCTCCTCTGCCCACCTCCCTTCATGTGTCCCCACGTGTCCCCAGTGTCCCCCATCCTTGTCCCCTTGTGTCCATGTTCCTCCCTGCCATGTCCGCTC